TTATTTTTTTTGCTTTTAAAAATATTTTTAAAATTAAGGATATTTATTTAAAAAAAAAATTTTAAACTCAAATAATGAGTTTACATGAGTATAATATTATTGAACGGTCAAAGTCAATTAGCATTATTAGAAGACTCGCATAATTATCATACGAATTAGAATTTGGAAAAGAAAATGACTTGGTCACTTGACTATATATCCAACTTTAGATTTTGCACCCACTACTTCGAACTTTCTGCATTGTACCTCTCTAACAAAATTTTTCAATCCAGTTGATATGATTAAATTAAAATGAGGAAATTTTCACCAAAACAATAAAACAATAATAAAAAAAAAGAATTATAAAGGAAGTTTTGGTTCACATAAAGTGTTAAAAGCAAGTGAAGTTTTTTTCCCAAATGTTTTCATTTTGCAAGAAATAATCAAATAATGGTGATTAATAGTTTTTCAGGAAAAATCAAACTTCATACGGTTGGAAAAATCAAATGATAAACATTCCCAACCCATCAATTTATTCTTTCCTCGGACTTGAATTCATCAGTCCCATGATGCTCTACCTGGTGTCTCTCCATCCTCTATTCCTTTTCACTATCAGCTGTACTGTATCATCAAATACAATATCAGAAGATGGCTGGAAATGGGTCACTGATCATGAAGGGTCCAAATTTTTTACATCTAATCCTGAAAACGTTTCATTTGTATCTATAGTTCACATCAAGATCCTTCTGTTACTTAAGCTCCTTACCCGACAGCTAAAGTTTTTCATGGTCAATGTTCTTCAATCTTTCAAAAGTAATATGTTGAGAATAGTAACTAAAATCTCATAAGTGATTTATTTGAAATTAGTTAAATATTATTTGATAAATAAAAAACTTACAAAAAAAAATTTTTTAAAAAAATAGATGCTTAATAAACAAGTTTAACTTACAAAAAAAAGAATTCTAACAGGAAAATGATCCTTAATAGACAAATTTATATACTTACAAATAAGTGAAGTTTCTAATTATTAGGTATGAGAAAAAGATATAAGAAAATTATAGAGTATTAAAGAAATAGACACCCCATAGAACTAAAGGAGATTAACGTCTTTATGAGTTTGTATGTTTAAGTAGATTATAGGAGAATGAGATAGTCTATATAGGTATGGTGGTGTAACTATTTGTGAGTGAACTAAACAAGGTTGAGAGAGTTTGCATAGGTATGGTGTATGGTGTACATAGATATGTATTTATTTGAGTTGAGAATACTTTATAAAATTAGAGGAGATTGAGAGAGCCTATAGGTATTGATTGTTGAGTGTTGATTTATATGAGTTGTATATTTGTAATTCTCTACAATTAATGAATCGTTTTTTCATTTTTGAATATAGGTTGGTTAAGCCAAATTATGTTAAATTGCTATCTATAATGCGATTGATTGATTGATTGATTATACTTCTGCTGACTTAATTGGATTAGGGCCTTTTTACTTAACAAGTGGTATAAGAACATAGTTTGAGACATGAGAAGAGGCAAGCCTAAAAGAGCTTAATTTAAGATAAGAGTTTAAGTTCATGTTTTGAAGATTAAGGATTAGTTTGCTTGAAGCGTGAAGACACATAAAAAAATATGATTGTTAGACTTCCACTGCAGGTAGAACAAAGCATATCTAGCATAAAAGTAGATGATTTGATGAAATTTGAGTTAAGGTGAATATTTTGAGAATAGTGACTCAAATCCTATAAATGATTTGTTTGAGATTTGATTAAATATTACTTAATGGATAAGAAGATTTGTAGAAGAAGAATTCTAAGAAGAAAGAGATTCTTAATAGGTAAGTTTGTATGCTTATAAATAGTTAAAGTCTCTATAGGGTTAGGTATGAGAAAAAATATGTAAGAAAGTTCTAAAGTTTCATGAGATAGATACATCATAGGACTATAGGAGATTAACGTTCTTATAGGTGTGTATCTTTCAATGGATTAGAGGAGAATGAGATAATCCACATAAATATGATAGTGTGAAAGTTTATGAGTGGACTAGAGAAGACTGAGAGGGTCCACGTATGTATGGCGTATAGATGCACATAGGTATGTATTTATTCGAGTTAGAATGCTCCATAAGACTATAAGAGATTGGGAGGGCCTATAAGTATTAATTGAGTGCTAACTGATATGAATCGTATATTTATAATTTTCTATAACTAATGAATTTTTTTTTCATTCATAAATGTAAATCGGTTGAATTGAATCATATTAAATTATTATTTTTTATATAATTGATTAATTATTTGATTATTTTTTCACTAACTTGATTAAATTAAGGCTTTTTGGCCTAATAAAATCATTTGAGATACATGCACTAGAAAAAAAAAATCCGAAATTGTTCTTCAATCTTCTCAAAAGCAAACCCAGTCATCCATAAATAAAATGCCGAAAATGAAGGGGTGAATCATAAAGCCATGCTGTCCAAAAAATCATCAATCAACTCCGATTTAATATATGTATTCAGGCCATAGGTGGGTGCTTTTGTAGAAACGGATCCCAGGCGTCCTATCCCTTTTTGGGTTGGGAACCTTAAACCAATACAATGCAAGGAAATTTAAAATCATACCCACCTTCATTTTCATTTTTGTAAAAAGTTAAATATTTCATTAGGTACAAATAAGATTAACATTCTTAACTAAAGTTGGCAATTCAATATATATATATTTATATTTAAAAATAATATTTTATATTAAAATAATATTAAATAATATTTATATTAAAAATTTAATAATTTTATTAATTTTGGGTTGAATTGAATCAATTATGAAAATATATACAAGTTGGATCGTGTAAGGTTGGAGTATAAAAAATCATATTTTAATGTCCAACCAGATTTGAGTATTAATTTTTTAAAATATAATCAGATTTAAAATAAAATAAAAAATTTATCTCGACCCAACTCGATGTTATCCCTATCCTTAGCTTTCATCTTTTTTTGTAAATAGGAGTGAAATTTTATTTACATTTAGTTGTTGCATTTTATGATGATCCAAGCTTCATCACTAAAAATAAATTGATCTTAATTTTTCAAATAATATATTTTTTTAAAGACAGAAGGATTTAAATGCGATTTTTGGCTTCCTTGCTTCTCTCATGAGATAATCAATTGCCAGGAAATCTCTTTATTTTTTTTTGCTATCCTCAAAAACAAAATATAAGACTAAAATTGATGCCACCATTTAATCAAGAAAGAAATGATTCAACGAATCAAAATCATTAATTAATATTAATTTAATACTGATAAAAAAATTAAAAAAATAAAATAAAAATATTAATATTAATATAATAGGAAAAAAATAGTCTTTAAAGTACAATTTGACCAACATATATTCATTTATCATTAAATCAAATGGAAATAACTTTTTTTTTTGGTATTTAGTGACTTGATTTTTATATTTGCTATAAATAGTAGATTGATTCTTTCGAACCACCTAGGTCAATATGCATATTTTTAAGAGATCAAAGTCTTAGGATAATAAGATGACTCATTGAATTTTTTTCCACACTGTGCTAACAACCCACTTTAATTTTTTTTCCACACTTTCTATAAATATCCACTGCTTGAATTTTCTACGTTGCACCTTTTTTACAGATATGATCATTTTACTGGAGATGATATGATTCGATTATCAAAAAATTTCCCCCCAAATGGAGACAACGATAAAGCTCTTTTCGTTGCTGTTTTAATTTTAAAAAATAAGACAGGTCCACCAAAAGAGAAATAATCAAAATGATAATTGATTGGTGGAGTTTAATTGATTACACAATCATTTTATTTATTTTTTAAAAAATGACATTTAGTGTTACAATTAAGTGAAGTTCCTTTCCAGGATATTTTGATTTTGCAAGAAATAATCAAATGATAAAGATTGATAATTTTTCAGAAAAAATCAGCTTTATATGGTTGGAAAAATCAAATGATAAACATTCCCAGACTTGAATTCATCAGTCCCATGATGCTCTACCTGGTGTCTCTCCATCTTCTATTCCTATTCACTACCAGCTGTGGTGCACCATCAGATACAATATGAGAAGATGGCCGGAAATGGGTCACTGATCATGACAGGTCCAGAATTTTCACCTCTAATCCTGAAAATTTTTCATTTGTATCCACAGTTTTACATCAAGATCCTTCTGTTACTCAATTTCCGTACCTGACAGCTGGAGCTTTTCACGGTAAATATTATTCAATCGTTCAAAAGTAAATCATTTGAGATATATGCACAAGAAAATAAATACTCAAAAATTGTTCTTCAAGCTTCTCATAAGTAAATCCAGTCATTCACAAATAAAACGTGGAATGAAGGGGTGAATAACAGTATTAAAATAGTTCTCATAAAGCTATGCCGTCCAAAAAATCAACTCCAATTAAATATATGCATTCAATCTATGCTTTACTCGTTTCCACAGTTGGGTGGGTGCTTTTGTAAAGTAATGTTAGGGAAATTAACATGTACATACGACACTCACGCATAAAATAACAAATTTAAATCTAAAATAAGAATATAAATATATTTATTCTGACCTAACTCAAAATGATTTACTTTAAACTCAATCCACTAACAAATAAATATTAATAATTGTGAGACTTAAAAAAAAATCACCAAAAACTTTTTACTCAAAACTTAACTCAAAATCTAATTATACCTTTTAATAACCTACTCACTTAACTTTTTTGGTATCTAATTATCTAATATTACTAAATCAAAAATAAAACATTTTATTTATAAAGGTGAAACCCTTTATATCTTTACTAAATTTCTGATGTGTGATACAAAATAAATTCAAACTTAACTTTAGATGTGAGATTATGAGATTCAAAGCAAATCTTAATAGTCCTACCCTTTTTGGGTTGGGAACTTTAAACCATCCAATGGAAGGAAAGCACTTTGAATATGGTGTATGGAGTGTGGACTAAGCTGAAGATGATACAGTCAAGTCTCAATTACCTTATCATAAAGAACAGCACAAGATGCATTCTTGCCATCACAAATCTCTAGTTTACTTCACTTTGCAAAGGGTCTAATAAATGACAGAACAATGGTGAACCACTCTTGAAAGTTAAAGCAACCTACCCTGTTCTTCCCGCTCTCTTATCCTACCTTTGATGCTTCTTTGCTTCAAAACTTCTCCTGCTATACACAATTACACAATATTCCTTCTCTCCAACAGACTCAGTTCCATGATTCCTTTCATTTTCTACCTGGTGTCTCTCCATCTTCTCTTCCCTGTCACTATAGCTGCCAAATCATCTGCCTACACACCAATCGATTATATTCTCCTCAGTTGTGGTGCATCATCTGATACAATATCAGCAGATGGCAGGAAATGGTTCACTGATGAAAGGTCCAAATTTTTTACCTCTAATCCCGAAAAAGTTTCATTTGTTTCCGCAGCTTCACGTCAAGATCAATCTGTTTCTCAAGTTCCTTACATGACAGCCAGAGCTTTTCAAGATAAATTCACTTATAGCTTTCCGGTATTACCTGGCCTCAAATTCCTCCGTTTCTATTTCTACCCGGTTCAATACTCTGGCTTTGATGGAACCACTTCCTTCTTCTCTGTTACCGCCAACAATTACGTTCTCTTGAAAAATTTCAGTGCCTATTTAACCGTTTCTGCTATAATTCCTCCACAAGCCTCGTTGATCAAAGAATTTATGGTTCCAGTCTTGGACAAAGAGAGGCTAAATATAACCTTTTCTCCATCTTCAAACTCTGTCGCCTTTGTAAACGGTATTGAAGTTGTTTCTATACCAGACAATCTTTATGGAGGTGACAGGGAAAATTCTTTGCCCTTTGTTAATACCAAATTTGCTACCTTTGATATTCCTAATACCACAGCTTTTGAAACTGCTTATCGTCTAAACGTTGGTGGACAAGATGTGGCTAACGTAGAAGACACAGGCATGTTTCGAACATGGCATGATGATTCCTCCTATATCTTTGGTGGTGCATCAGGTGTTACGCCTCATCGGTCCAATGTTACAATCACATACACCCAACAAACTCCTGCTTATACGGCTCCTGCCATTGTCTACAGTACATCACGAACTATGGGTCCTTATCCGAAAATCAACATGAATTACAATCTGACATGGATTTTTTCTGTTGATACTGGCTTCAACTACCTCCTTAGGCTTCATTTTTGCGAGACTCAATTGGAAGTGACAGAAAAAAGTCAACGCGTGTTTGATATATTCATCAATAATCAAACAGCTGAACTTAAGGTTGACGTGTACGAACAGAGTGGCGGTAATAGCAAGCCGATGTACAAAGATTACGTTGTGTTGATCCCAAATGGATCGGGTCAAAGTAAACAAGATCTGTGGGTAGCGTTACACCCTAGCGAAGGGGCTGGTTCACAGTTTAATGATGCAATCCTGAACGGTTTAGAGATTTTTAGACTCAACAAATCAGACAGTAGTCTTGCAGTGCCAAATCCTGACCTGCTTTTGAGTCTTACACCAGCAAAACCTGAGCAAAAGAAGTTGAAACTTTCGTCCCCTAATAAGGCCATTATTGGAGGTGCCCTTGGCACCGGAGCTGCAGTATTATTTTGTCTTTTATTTTCCTTCATTTTCTGGCGACAAAAGCGACTCTGTTCTATCAAAAGAAAATCCATGGAACGCAGAAAAACTTCATCATTGCCAGACAAACTATGCCTGTGTTTTACTCTCGCTGAAATCCAAGCAGCAACCAGTAACTTTGACGATTCTTTTGTTATTGGACGAGGAGGATTTGGTAAAGTCTACAAGGGTTTCATCAAGGGAATAAAACGTGCAGTGGCAATCAAGCGATTAAACTCCCAGTCCCAACAAGGAGCACGAGAGTTTTGGACAGAAATCCAGATGCTTTCTCAGCTTCGACATATTCATCTCCTGTCTCTCATCGGATATTGCAGCGATGATAATGAAATGATTCTTGTCTATGATTATATGGCCAATGGAACCCTCCGTGATCACCTCTATAACAAAGACAAAAGTCCTCTGTCCTGGAAACAGAGGCTGAAAATTTGTATTGGTGCAGCCTATGGATTAGATTACCTTCATTCAGGGGCAATTTATCGAATCATTCATCGAGATGTGAAGAGCACCAATATTTTGTTGGATGAGAATTATGTGGCTAAAGTTTCAGATTTTGGCTTGTCTAAAATGAGTCCAATTAGCATGACAAATGTTCCGGTTACAACAATGGTGAAGGGTACTTTTGGCTACATGGATCCTGAGTATTACAGGCGACAACAGCTAACAGAGAAATCGGATGTGTACTCTTTCGGCGTGGTGCTATTCGAAGTATTGTGTGCTAGACCAGCTGTGGATTCTACATTAGAATATTCACAAATCAGTTTAGCCAATTGGGGTCGGAAATGTGTGGAGAATGATCGTATAGGTCAAATCATCGATCCCTTTTTGAAAGATCAAATTTCACCTGCCTGTCTAAGAGCATATGCTAAGGTTGCAGAAAATTGTGTCCGTCAAAATGGGTTAGAAAGGCCCACGATGAACGATGTAGCGCAGAGACTTGAATTTGCTCTGCAGTTGCAAGAAATTGAGGAAGCAGAACAAACATGTCAAGCTGGTGATGGAGATCAGTCCCAAGTCAATCAAGACATCTAGTTTTAAGCACTTTCTTCTCTGTCTTCCAAAATCTAGCAGCTTTCTTAGATTGCGTGCATTTGTATCGTTAAAAAATGTGTGCTTTGGTTTTCTTCCTTTGATGAATTGTTAAATTAACATATGAGTGAAATTTTGGAAATAGGAGTGAAATTAGTAGAGGAAGCTTTCATCCCATCTTGTAAATAGGAGTGAAACTTTATTTACATTTAGTTGTTGCAGTTTATGAAGATCCAGGCTTCATCACTAAAAGTAAATTGATCTTAAATTTTCCAACAACTTATTTTTTTAAGAAAGGACTTGAATGTGATTTTTGACCTCCTTGCTTCTCTTATAATATATCTACTTTTTTCAAGATTCATAAAAACAAAATGTAAGACTAAAATTGATGCCACCAAAATAACTTAATATGCCGAAATCACTAATTAATACTAATCTAATATTAATAAAAAATAAAAGCAAAAATACTAATATAACAGAAAAAAAAAAAACTGTCTTTTATGTTCAGTTTGACCAACATATATATATATATATATACATTTATTATTAAATCAAATGGCAATAACTTGATTTTCATTTTGGTACTTAATAACTTGATTTTTATACTTGCTATAAATAGTAGGTTAATTCATTCGAAGACTCAGCCACGTAGGTCAATACGCGTATTTTTAAGAGATCAGAGTCTATTTGGATTATTAGAAGACCCAATGACTTAACATGTGACAATAGGAGGTTCTGGAAATGAAAATTACTGTAATAACAACCAACTTTAATTTTTTTTTTCCACACTTTTCATACATATCCACTGCTTGAATATTCTTCATTGAACCTTTCTTACAGATCTTTTTAATGGAGTTAACGTGATAACAGCAAATGGAAACAACAATAAAGTTCTTTTCCACGCTGTTTCCATTTTCCAAATTAAGACAATTCAAGTTCATAAAGTGAGAAATAATCAAAATAATAATAAAAAATTGATGAAATTTAATTGATTCATATAATTATTTCATTTTTAACAAATGACATCTAATAAATATAAAATTTAAATTTCCGCACTTTCAATTTTTTTTTTTATTCTTATACTGCAACTCTTTTATAAAAAATAAAAATAAAAATCATATGATATTTTAAGTCAGACTTCATGCTTTGTAAAAAAAAATTATTAGCAGTGACACTTGGTTTAAATATCCATTATTTCAAAATAGCTTAGAGCATAACATAAATTTAAAGATCCAAGAAAAATTCAGATCAAATAACTGTGCCTAATTAAAAATCTGTGTAAAGATACAACTGATATTGCCTTTTGAGAGAGATACACAAAGCTACTTGCTTCAGTTTCTAACTGTCAGAAGTTTTTATCCTTTAGAAAAAAAAAAAAAAAAAACAAGCATCAAAGAATCTTAGCCACATCCGATGCGTCTCTTAAAAATCAGTAACTAATCTGTTTAATAAACTCATTAAGTTGGTTTTTATAAGAAGATAACCAAAATTTGCCGCACAATTGCAGGCCATTTCTTAATGTGGATAGTTCAAGAAAATTACCTGAGACCGTCTGGCATGGCTGTCTTCTGAAATATAATGACCCTCAGTCAGCCATTGAACTAAATCTCTGCTCTTCATGTGGCAAGAAGCAAAATTATTTGTTGTTGGTCACTTCTAGTCATCTTTCACACATAAGCGCTCTGAAAAAAAAACAAAAACATTTTCGGACTGAGTTCAGTTTATGACTAAGGTAGGAGAAACAAGAAGACACAAGTCAAAGACAACGACAGCATTAAAAGTGCAAACTGAAGCACACACCCGTAAAAGAGTAACTATAAGCATGACTAAATGCAGAGAAACAATCTATCCGTGAATACAATCAAATGGATTCATAGCAGCTATCAACATGGATTTCCAGAATGTAGATGTATAACTGAGAGATCTAGATGACAGTGCATGATCAGCTTATGGAACAAAGAAGAAATTATTATTTTAAATATAGTAATACCAGCAGTACCTTCAATTTGCATTAACCCAGGTTCAGTTATCAAAGTCCAGAAATTAAAGGTCATTGTAGTTTACACATTACATCATTCCCTTTACACTAAAAGAAAGTACAAAAAGTGGAAGAGAGGAAAGGGTCCATACTCAGGTATTCGTATGCTAATATCATTGAGGTTCCCCATGCTGACATACTGAAGAATCTTGGACCCAACCCTCTGTACAAACCTTTCCAACCATCATCTGCAATTAAGGTTTTTACAACTTGTCTAGTAGAAGGTCGCTTCTCATGCCCCATCACCTGGAATGCAGAAACAACTAATTACCACCAAAAAAAAAAAAAATGAACACCACCATAAAAATAAGCAGTATGTTGACCAAACAACCATTATATGAATCTTGAAAAGAAAAAAGGGGGTAATCACAGTTCTCATTTGAGAAGATAAGGTATTTCAATCTTCAAATAAAATGGTCTACTTACTATAATTAGATGGAAAAAATGCTGTAATAGGAATACCACATAAATTATAAATAATCAAAAGAAAGTGTATTAAAATTTTGAAAATGGAATGATCTAAACCACAATGCAAAGAAAAAAAGAAAGACATGTAGCAGTCAACAAGGAGAGAAAGAAAAATACAAAGAAAATTAATGTCAAAAAGGTCATAAGAAAACCTGTAAGCGAGTCTTAATGGTATCCAATGGAGTTGTGATGCAGGAAGCTGTAGCACCAGCTATGATTCCTCCGGCAGCCTGCACCGACACTATTGTCCATGGATTAGGAGCAGCTTCCTTTAGGTCCGTGCCATGGCCTAAGAACCTACAAAAATGATAGTACACATAGTAATGCGAGCTAACTCAAGAAGAGTGCATGGAATGCCAGAAACTCTGCCACACCCAGAATCTTAATGGAGAAAAAGAAAAAGAAAAAAAAAAACCCTTTGGAAGCCCACATTTGATCTAAGAACAAGTGTGTATTAGGCAATAATTAGTTGTTTGATCTAAAGGCAATCACTTGCTGCAATGAGTTCTAAGGTTAGCAGCTCTAAAAGCACATTCAACCCTTTTTTGTAAAGCAAATTAACCCAACCAAAAACAAAAAAGAGAAGATAACAACAAAAACAATCACAACTAACCTCCAGATAACACGCTGGCTTGAGCCATAACTAGCCCACCATACAGCACTGGATGGAGAATAAGTCATGACTGACAGACCGAATCCTCTGTATAACCCTCGGATTCCATCAGACTTTAAAACCTTACGAGCAACATCCAGACCCCCATTGTATTTTGCATGGCCTGAGTATCCTTGTACCATCAACTTTTGACTAATCTGCACATAATTCAAGAGAAAGAAATTTACTCGTGCACATCTTTTTTCTGGCTTTGGTTTAAGGGAAAAAGAGCAAAAAGAAGGACAGCAACTTTACTAGATTGACTGAAATTTACCCTGCATTAAAGCATTTCAAAGAGAGTCTGGAGTATGGACAACAGTCATCCAGACCCCTACTATGAGAAATTTCTAGCAGGATCTCAATTAGAAAGGCTATATATGCATACAGTGTACACATAACCATGAAATTATTTTTTCTTTTTCTTTTTTTTTTGTTGGGGGGTAGGGAGAGAACAATTTCATTGAACTAAGTGAAGGCTGCAGCATGTATGTGACCATGTAATTTTGCTTATATAATAAAATAAAACACTAAATTAAGCTAGGAGAGAAAATTTCTCATGTAAGAATCTGAACTACTGACCACATCAATGGGAACAAAAACAGCTTGAGAAAATAGTGATGCTGCCATTCCAGCAATTCCATTAGCTATAGCTGCTTGTGTAGGTTCAGAGAATTTAAATGGTTCAACCATTCTGAAAGCAGCCACTTTTGTAGTTTCCAGAGCAGTAAGAAATATAACCCTGGCAGGAATCGCACCAGTGATGACTGTTCCAAACCCTCGATAGAGACCAGGGATTCCATCTGTTTTCAATATGCCTCTGATAACAGAAAATGCACTTCTCTCAACAGTATCCGTTGAAGCAACCTGAAGCCTAGTTTTTACAACAGATACTGGGTACAATGCTAGTGTAACTCCAGTAAAAATTCCAGCTCCTACAACGTAAAATTTAGTTTTGTCGAGTCTGCATCAACAGGCAACACTAATAAGCATGAAAGAGTTACAAACAAAAAATCACAGTAGGAAAAAGAAACTATTGGCAGATCTCTGATAACACTAATCACAAAGAGCATTAGGAAAGCAACACTCATCTGACAAGGATTGCCCTCAAGACTTCCATTGTTTGAAATTTATCCTATTCAAAATTCTTCACTATTAGCCGAATGAGGTTCCATCCACTAACAAAGTGATCAAAAGTTGATGAAATTAAGTGCAATCTACTAAGCAAAATGTTCAAAGTTTATTAAGCAGTTAAAAGGAATAAAGACGCAAGACATGTAAAGGATAACAATAGCACATGGTTCTTCACAACTAAAGAGGCACCATTCATCCAAAAAAAAACCCAAGACTAGTTTTTTCTTCTCTTTTCACCCTAATTCATCTAAAAATACTAAAATCCTATCCCCATCACAAATTTCTTAAACAACAATAATATCAAATTCTTTGGATTAAACAAACCAAAAAATGACCATCTTAGAGGAAGTGATTCAATCATTTGAACAGTTTAATAAAAATAAAATCTTGAATTTAACCCATTAAGCCATTGCACAAAAAAAAAAAAAAAAACTAAAAGATTGAAATCAACCGATCTAAACCTAAGACTTGATAACAAAATCAACAAAAATTTAAAATTTTCACTAAAAGGGAGCAATTTTTTTCATTCAAAACAAGGATCCAAAAGCAAACTAAAAAGTAAAAAGATTAAAGCTTAAAAAAAAACTAAATTCGATCGGATAAAAGAAATAAACTTTACAATTAATTAAAGAAATTAAAGAATAAAGGTACGCACTTGTCCCAATTGATCTCCGTCTGACCAAACGTCCGTAATTGAGAACTCGAAGCTTCCATTGTAAAATCAAACTAAAACAATTTGAAACAAAAAAAAAAATCCCTAAAATTAATTCTTTTAATAATCCATTTTTTCCTTCAATAAAACAGCAAAACAGAAATGTTATGAAATTTTGGTTTTTTCCTCTCTAAAGTTCCCGCATTTCAGTGAGCGAAAATAATTCTCTTTTAAAAATGTTAATTAAATTAATAAAAAAGGAAAAAAAAATTTATGAATTTGTTTTCACGGCTTTGGAAGTTGTTGACTGGAAGTGTTTCTGTTCCTTACTTATTTTTAGATATTATTACAATTGAGGGCGCTTTTTCATTGGAAAACCATAGTAGGGCAAAAAGCTGTCTTATTTTGAGAATTTGTCCAAATAACGTAGAAAATAATCCCATCATTTATTCAAAATTAAAACCATGCGATAGCTAATAAATCATCTACAAATTAGAATTAGTCAAAGAGAGGGGACTATTATTTTTTTTATTAATTGTTTGCACGCCCATTCTTCAAATAAAAATAAAATAAATGAAATCAATTATCCTTTAAATAGTTGATATATCATTAAAGTTGGTAGTTAAAAATTACCAGTCCAAAAAAATTTAAGCTTGTAATAACCTTTCAACTAAGTATGTAATCAGATAAATGATTTAAATGTAGATTAAAAATTTTTAAATAAATTAATTAATTAATTAATTTAAATTTAAGAATTTATATTTGATACATATACTGATAGTAAATCAAATGACAATAACGTATTGATAGTGAATCAATTATCCTTTATACATTAATAATAAATAAATTGAGAATAACTCATTAATGAATTGAATCAAATAATAACACTTCATTTATAAGTAAATTATTTAATTTGTATATTTATTTTAAGAGTTACTATTTACTTATTAATAAGTTGTCACCTGATTCACTAATTATATTATAAAATCTATATACTAATATTATATCAAATATAAACTCCAAACTTAATTTACTTAATTTAATTTATTTCTATAATTATATTTAAAAAATAACATTCATTGCAATTTAAAAATATAAAAAAAAATTACAAACGCTGTATTGAATGTTATTGCTTAATTGATATTATTTCAACATGAAATACTTGAAGCTCTTAATGGTCTCTCTTAAAGGTATATTTTTGGTTTTATTTTATTTTTATACTAGTTTTTTTTACTCGTGCCGTGAACGAAGTTTTTTTATTACATTTTTTTATAGTTTTAAATTTTAATTTATATTAATTTTTATATTATATATAGATAAATAAAAATAATCATAATCATTTATAATTTGTAATTTAAAATTAAAAAAATTATCGATATATAAATTATTATGAAAGAATCTAAATAAGTATTATGAAAGTAAAATTATATACAAATATCAATGAAAAAATTAATTTTTTATTCACAATTACATAATTTTTTAAAAAGTATATATTATTTTAGTATAAAAATTAAGATTTATGCATGTGATATATCGTGAAAGACTTTTTCATATTTAAGTTTAAAATTTTATCTTGTTAAACTTTTATGACAAAAAAAATATATTGATAGTGAGAAAAAATCATAAATATATATTTAATAATTATTTAATTTAAAAAAACTAAAATTTTAAAAATTTAGTTTATCCAAGTTTAATTTTAAATTGAGATAAAAGAAGTTAGTATAATTTTAAATTTAGACGTATGTAATTTTGAATTGAGATAAAATATATTTTTTTATTTTAAATTATAAAAAAATAAAAAATGATAAATAACAGTAATCCAATCATAAATTTTATTTATTTAAATTTATATGAATATTAATTTACATGGTGTATAATTTTTTTATGATTTTCAAGATTTAAGAATTTAACTTTTAAAAACTATTTGAATTGAATAAGAGTGAAATATGAAAAGATATATTTTATTAGATTTAAATTAAAATAAATCTTATATATTTGATTTAAAGATTTAAATGTAAATTTTAAAACTTTAAAATTTTTAAAAATTAAATAATTGATTTAATAAAATTATTTAAAAATATCTTACATATTAATAATATAAATTGTCTACTTAAATATTCACCTAAATAAATTTTATCAAATTTTTATATATGTTATAATATAATATTATATATGATGTGATTAGAGGATAGACATGAGTCATGCTTCTTAAAAAAAAATTTAACACCTTTACGTATATAGTACTCTTTCCTGTAAAATTTATTATTTAATCCCCTTTTCCCGTTAAATTTATTATCTGATCCTCTTTCCTAAAATGATGATCAAATATGGAATTGGATGATAAGCCATGATTTTTAGTTAATTAATTCGTTTTAATCCTAAAATAGTTGGATTAGTTACGCTTATTATCATAAGATCATCATTAATTATGTCAGTTTCACATCTTAACACAAAAAAAAAAAGGAAACTTTCATGAAAAACAACAAAAAAAAATCAAATTGGAAAAAACTGTGGAAAACAAAAAGCTGTTTAGTTTAATCAAGTACTGTTATCTTAATTTTTATCAAATATTATTAATAATGATGCTTAAACTTTAAATTAAAGATCAATTATAGACTTATGCAATGTGCAGTGAGCAAAAGGTTTTGAGACTGCAATAACATGAAAGAAATTTGTTAATTAACTTCATAAATTTTTTTTTTAGATTAAGGTCAAAATTGCCACTGTATTATAAATAGTATTAAAAATTTACATTGTGCTTCAATTTCTTTGAACATTTTCTTGATTATTTTTGTTATAAAACTATAGAATTGATGAAAATTTATTATTTGCATTAATAGAATATTTTTATCCAAAAATAACGAAATTGAAATTATAATGATTATTAGATGAATTTTTAATGAAATATTTCAATTTTTTATTAAAAAAATTAAATTAAAAATATAATAATGACAAACTTAAAAAAAATTAAGTCTCTATGTGATCATAGTTAGGGGTGTAAATGATACATTAGTACTCGCAAGCTACTCGGGTTCGATTCGAAAAAAACTCGAATTCGGTTCGATTATTGTCGAGTCGAGCTCGAGCTCGAGTAGCTCAACTTATCGATCGAGCCGAATTCGAGTATTATTATATCTGACTCGAGTAGCTCGCGAGCCTAATCGAGCTTTTATATTTAAATATATTTTTATTATTTTAATTAATAAAATATTTCGAGTCCGAGTTCGAGTTCGAGTTCGAGCATGAATAATCGAATTTTTGTCGAGTATACGAATCGAGCTTATTTTTACATATTAATCGAGCTTAATCGAGCGAGCTCGAGCCATGATGGAAGAACTAAAAATTGACACTTAAAGGGCATAAAAAGTCCATTAAAGGGCTAAATCACCAGCTCAATTTTGAACCCTCATGTGAACCACAAGCCTTCTTGTGGTCCATGATGAAACCACATGAAAGACTCAGTCATCCTACATGAAAAATCGTGGCATAAGCCGTAACCCTTTCTAACAAAAACAAAGGAAAAACTCAGTAAATGGGATATTGGATATATGAATTTGAAAATAATGATGTGCTAATTGTTAAAGTTTGAGTGGCTGTGTCTTTATTTAATGACAGACAAATGAGTCAAAGCTTCACAGCTAGGATCTTCTTCTGGAAGTAGAACATGTGCTGATTCCAAAACCTTAGTTTAAGCTGTCATTTTCTGCTGTTTCACACGTAAACAACTGGCATGCATCAACTCTCAGCTGTAATTATATCACTGTATTTCTTCTTCCTTCTGAATCACGCCAGCTCTTTTTTTCCTCCGTTTATATTGACTAACAAGCACGTACATGCAACCCATGTTTATTTTTTTAATTTCTTTCTTTCAAATTAAATCAACCCCAAATAATTCTGTTTTCCACTAATCATCTTTTAATTGAAAAAAAGGAAAAAAAAAAGCAAAAGTCTTTCAGTGGGCTTAAAGTGTTCCACTACTTCAAATTGTCTTCTCCGAAAGGCTCTCTCTTTATCTGAGTCTTCCCTGTCTGTCACAGAACACAGATCTTGAACCAAAGTCAAGAACAAAAAAGTTTTAAATCCAAAAGAACATTTTTTCTTTGCAGCAAAGAAATGGCTAATCTTTTCTTGTTCGTTACTAGATCTTTCTTCAAGCTAGGTTCTTTCAGCGTTTTGCTTCTCTTTTTTCTATTTTGCTCGAGTTTCACTGCAACAGGTTTGTAAAATCTTTCTCTTTCTTTTTTTTTTTTTAAATGTTTGCAAAGTTGGAATCTTTGGTTGGTTTCTTTCTTTTTTTTTTTTTAATTCTTTGATGAGTTTGGCAATATCGGGTTTCTTTAATTATATATAAGTTCTTTTATTTTTTTTAAAAATTTTTTTATGTTTATTTTAATGGCTTTTTGCTGGATTGCCTGGGATTTGGCTCTATAATTGTATATTTCAATAAGGGCTAGGGATTTTCTGTGGAAAATTTGATTCTGTTTTTTCAGTTCTTGAGAGAGCTTTACTTTGGTAAGTATGTAACTATTAACAGCATTTCCAGTTATGATGAGATATAAAAATATGAAATGAAGAATAAAATTTTTTTTTTAATTATTGTCAAATAATTTTCGTTTTAGACTAATGAATTTGCAAAGAAATATGATCTCTTTTATGAACAAGACAACTTGTGTAATGATTATGTCAAAGGCTGAGATTAACACAAGTTTTTGAGGCTGTTTGCTAGTTACATCATGTCATCTGTACCTTATTTACCTATCATTATTGATTTAGCCAGAATATAAACTTTGTGAACCTTTGGTCCTTTTATTCTTTCTGACTAGTGATTATCTAATATTGCTTTCCTGCTTCATTTCTTAATGTAAGTTTGTTATTATCATAGTATAGGATTTGGTATTGGAAATGTATTTTTTTCTTAGTTCTTTTTTTTTTTTTAACTCATGGTCAGAAGCGTATGATCCTCTGGACCCAAATGGAAATATCACAATCAAATGGGATATCATGAGCTGGACTCCTGATGGCTATGTTGTAAGTATTGTTTCATTTTGTATTACTTAGTACATGCAGAAGTTTGTAGATGCAAGTTAAACTTTGATAATTTAGCTATCTAGCATGGCTAGTACAAAGGAAGAAACCTAGAATCACTAGCTTTGTTGTTTTCAAAATTCTTTTACACTAATGCTGGTAACACTGGATATCAATCAATAGGTAGAATTAAAACTTTTGTTTCGTTTTAGATAAACAAATGAAGAAACATGGTTTGCAGACCAGACATCGTTCTGCCTTAAGCTTGATGTACCTATTGTCCCTATTGGCTGAAAATGTGAGATTAACTTCTCAATGAAATGAGCAGGCAGTTGTCACAATCTATAACTTCCAGCAATACCGCCATATCCAAGCACCAGGGTGGACATTAGGTTGGAAATGGGCCAAGAAGGAGGTGATTTGGAGCATGATGGGAGGGCAAACAACTGAACAAGGGGATTGTTCAAGATTCAAAGGGAACATACCACATTGCTGTAAGAAGGACCCAACAGTTGTGGATTTATTGCCAGGAACTCCTTATAATCAGCAGATTGCAAATTGCTGTAAAGGGGGGGTGCTAAACTCATGGGGGCAAGATCCAGCCACTGCAGGAAGCTCGTTCCAGTTGAGTGTGGGTCAAGCTGGAACCACGAATAAGACAGTTAGAGTTCCTAGGAACTTCACTTTGAAGGCACCAGGGCCTGGTTATACTTGTGGACCAGCAAAAATTGTGAAACCCAGTAGATTTGTTACTCCAGACAAAAGAAGAGTCACACAAGCTTTGAGTAAGTTACTTGATTAAGATGTAGAATGCCATATATTTATTCATATTCTTTTAGCTAATCCGCATGTCATGTCTTGTTTCTCATCGCTGAACTTTGGAAAAATGACATTCTGAACTGTACTGCAATTGGCTGAAATTGTTATTATTACCGACTTATTACAGAAGGATGACCTCAGTGGATATGGTTTTTCTTGCTGGAAGCTCGTTTTATTGACGTACAGCATCTAATAATTTATAGATTGTGCTTGTTAATTGCTTTGTACAAAGAAGTTTTTGGAAACAAATATTCTCATCTCATATATAATTAGAACTTGTATCAGTATAGATGGTTGTAATTGACATTACTTCTTTATGACAGTGACATGGAATGTTACATGCACATATTCACAATTCCTAGCTCAGAAAACTCCCACTTGTTGCGTCTCTCTCTCATCCTTCTATAATGACACCATAGTACCTTGCCCTCGATGTGCTTGTGGCTGCCAAAATACTTCTCAGCCGGGGAGCTGTGTAGAGTAAGTTCTCTCAGCCAAAAAGATGAGACTTGTTGCACATAGTTTATGTTGGTTGGAGATGATTCTATCTTATCTGTTTATTGCTTCCTAAAGCTTTTTGTTGCTAATGTGCAGTCCAGAAGCTCCACATATAGCATCAGTTGTTCCAAGTACAGGGACAAACAGCTATACACCTTTGGTCCAATGTACAAGCCATATGTGTCCAGTCAGAATTCATTGGCATGTTAAGCTTAACTACAAGGAGTACTGGCGGGTTAAGATCACAATTACTAATTTCAATTACAATATGAATTACACGCAATGGAACTTAGTTGTGCAACATCCCAACTTTGACAATCTGACTCAGATTTTCAGCTTTAACTATAAGTCTTTAACTCCATATACAGCAATAAGTAAGTTCAATTGATCTTGGCCACTTTTGTAAGTCTTTAACTCCATATACTGCAATAAGTAAGTTCAATTGATCTTGGTCACTTTTGTATGTTTTGTGCCCTTTGCATCTTATGTCATTAAGAGTGGAATAATAGTTTAGATAAAACTCATCTCTGGATTCTCTGTAATGGAAGGAATGGGAACTAAGAGCAAAATAAAACATTTGGGGAGAGTAATTGGTTCATGCATGATGTGGATCACTTGGTGCATGAAATCTGTGAATTATTTCTTAATTTATGGTCAACATTTTTGTTTCAAAAGGTATTAAAAGGATCATTTTTGTTTGTTTATTTTATTCAACAGATGATACTGCCATGTTATGGGGTGTTCAATTCTACAACGATTTGCTTTCTCAAGCTGGTCCGCTTGGTAACGTGCAGTCAGAGCTACTTTTCCGAAAGGATAAATCAACTTTTACTTTTGAGGAGGGTTGGGCTCTCCCAAGAAGGATCTACTTCAATGGAGATAATTGTGTTATGCCACCTCCTGATTCCTATCCTTGGTTGCCCAATGCCAGTTCCCACCAGCTTGTCTCCACACTTGGTCTGATGATGACTCTCTTGGCAGCAATGGCATTTTTATTCGGATACGTGTAAACTTCAATCATTTTTATACTGCAAAATCTGGTATGCTTCCCTTTTTGACTGGATCAGTTCAACTCTAGAACGTACAACTGGCATAGCAAGAAGTTCCCACGTTTGTTTTAGTGACTGTAGGCGGTTCAAGCGTGTGAAGGTGCAGTGGTTTCTTTTGTATGATCAGTGAATTCACTATGATTTGAACACTTGTGCTGTTGTATGCGTGTTCATTTCTGTACTTTACCATCTTGATTGTAGAATTTCCACAATATTTTATTACAGTTGTAACAAACATAAGTCATTTAACTGAGAAACTTGGAAAGCATCTATTTTATGGCAGTGTAATACAGGAAACTATTAGAAATTCATGAGTATATTTGTTATGAAGAGTGTGCATCTAGAGTTTTGGTGCAAAATGCCTTTCTGATTCGTTTAAAGAATTTTGAATTTGTTCACTTGTGCTCGCTGTAATCTTGGTAAAATCTTTCCAATCGAAAACTTTCATTGCTAGTTCCCCCATCATTTCATACTCCATGAGAAACAATCACCAAGCAGTCAATAATGAGAAAAGCATTGCAGCAATGAGTGTTAAGATGGAGAATAGGTCTTGATGGGCGGAATTTGGTAGAAATGGGTATGTATCAGGTGGGGGTAGCATGCATTCATCACCATTGAAATAGACTTTCCTTGGAAATGCCCATCCCTGCTTGAAAGTGAAGGTGTCCTCGTCCTTCTTAAGAAGCACCTCTGATTGAACATTCCCAAATGGCCCTGCTTCCATCAATAGGTCATTGTAGTACTTCATGCCATAGAACATCCCTGTGTCATCTGCGCATAAACCAATAGCATGATTACATAATTATCAGACAATAATTTAACTGTACCGAGAAATGTAAGGAAACAGAACTTGTTAAAGTACTCACTGATTGACTCGTAGGGAACAATAGGCTTGTAATCAAAGCTGAAAACTTGTGTTACATTATTAAGATTAGGGTGCTGGATAACGAGGCTCCAAAGTGTGTAGTTCATCCTGTAGTTGAAGTTGGTGATTGAGACCTTAACACGCCAGTACTCCTTGTAGTTGAGCTTGACATGCCAGTGCACCCGAACCGGGCACATATGGTGCGTACATTGAAGCAAAGGGGCGTTATCTTTCCGTGGAGTGTTTACTCCCACCATTTTAAGAATCTTGGAATCACTCCTGCGTCATCATTCATTTCAAGGTTTTCATGCTAATGCTCTCTAATAAGTAAATCAAGTTAAGGTATCAGAAATGGCAGCTTACTTGACACAGCTCTTTTTGTTCTGGCATCCACAAGCACAAGATGGGCAAGGAGTGATTGTTTCATTGTAGAAAGACGAGAAAGATACACAACAACTCGGGTTTTTTCTAGCTAGAAACTGTGAATAAGTGCAGGTCACATTCCATGTCACTACATAGAACAGAAGGCATGATTAATCACTGAAAATTAGGATCATGTCATTTTGTCAAGGAGATCAATCTCCCATGAATTCAGATAAATCTAGATCATGCAAGCCAAAAGAACTTACTGAGGGCCTGAGTTTTTCTGCGGCGATCAGGGGTGAGAAAAGTGGTGGAAGGCACAACCTTTGCAGGACCACAGGTGTATCCGGGTCCTGGACCAAGTAAAGTAAAGTTCTTGGGAAGTTTCACAGTCTTGTTTGAAGTACCGGCTAATCCAACACTCACTTGGAAAGCTGAGACTGCGGCTTGAGGGTCTTGACCCCATGCTGGAAGCACTCCACCTTTGCAGCAATTGGTGAATTGTTGGTTGTAGGGAACACCAGGGAGCAGGTCTACAACTGTGGGGGTTTTCTTGCAGCAGTGAGGTACGTTTCCTTTGAACTTGGAGCAGTCACCTTGCTCAGTAGTTTGAGCCCCTACCATGGACCATATCACTTCTTTCTTAGCCCATGTCCACCCAACGGTCCAACCAGGACTCATGATGTGCCGATACATTTGAAAATTGTTTATTGTCACAACAGCCTGGAAAATGTTATTGGCACCAGAAGCTCAGATATTGGATATATCATTGATGGTTGAACTTAATTTTGTTTGATCAACATTTAGCGCTTACCACATAGCCATCTGGGGTCCAAGACACAATATCCCATTTGATTGTTACATTTCCATTTGGATCCAAAGGATCATATGCCGCTGCAACCACAAAGCAAAGAAATTAAATGCAAGACCATTGAACAAACAGAAATGAACCAACCAAAGGAAAAACTCTAGGAACTGAACAAATGTTCACCTGCATGAGAAAAGAGCACAAGAAGAAACAAAGCCGAGATGACAAATCTCATCTCCACAGACTTGTAGCAATGACAGGAGTTAGATTCTAATTTTAAGCAAATTTCCTGAATTCGGGTTTCAACAACTGCTGAATGCAAACTGATCTTGAGTTTTCTTCTTCAGCAATGAAATATCGGTTGTGTTGTATGAGTGTTAAGAAAGATAAGTAACAAATTTCCACATTTCCAATATTGGAATCATCTAGAGTTAGGAGTATGGCTCACCAACTGGTTGTTAAGTACTTGTATTGTGTGTTACAGTTATATATATCCCTCTCAGCTTCTGGTTTTTTCGCTTTCCATAACTTGAAGCAACTGCTAGGTTTGAGACTAAGCGGGAGACTTGAGTTGTCTGACCACAACATCTCAACAGCCCCCGTTGAGGGTGACTTTGAGAGGATTTTTTTAACAACATTAACTTATTTCCAGAAGGCTGGTTTTGTACAAACGAGAAGGAAGAGTTAGAGGCAAGAAAACAATGTAGGGACAAGTAGTGAGTTCCCTTGCAATAAAAAAGACAATCCAACAAATCATTCCAATGCTTCACCCGTAATTTTCTCACATGCTTCTCTTTCTTAATTTATGGCCCTCCTCAGCTTTTTGAGAGGAACTAAAATGCAATGAACTCTCCCACCCATGGTTCCCAATAGGCCATTGGTGAAATTGGAAAATCTCGTACAGGTAAAGCACCAGCACTCATCAAATCAATTAGCCCAACTTCCAAATTATTTTCCATTAATTGTTGTTACACTTGGCATGGTTATACTACAAAGTAGTAGTTGGTGTCGTGCAGCATTAGCACCGCTTGTGTCACGCGCGGGAGTACGGGCGGGAGTGAATCTTGTATATACCTTTAGGGTCTCGGGTTCGATCATTTCTTATCTTTTTCCCACACCAACCCAAACAAACGGCATTATTCGATCCTCTTAGGTTTGGACTTGTAGCAGGTCGTGATAGTAGCTCAAGGTTAGGCCTAGCCCTAATGTAAGCCCAAAACTTTTGAGCCTTGATTTTTCCATTTCTATATAATTGAAGATTCAACTACACAGGCTGCCCAACCTTTGTGGCCTGAACATCCCCAAACTCTAGGATAATATTTTGGTAGAAAATCCATGGCATTCTATATTTGTTTTCCTCTTTTTTAAAAACAAAAGACAGATTATTTTCATGTTTAAAACTTGTGAAATTTAACATGTTTTGGAGGAAAAAGAAAATAATTATAAAGCTTTCAATAAAAAAAGATTAAACAAAGAAAAAAAATACCATCACCAAACTATAAAGTCATTGACAGCTATATTTTTTTCTTTAATTAAATATTAGAGATAAGCTCGATTGATTATTCCTGGTCGAAACAAGCAAGTTAGCATTTTAATGATGGGTAAGTTTGGGAAAACAAAACACATAACAAAAAGTCAAGTCCATAAGAAAATTCCAATGTCCAAAAAAGCAAAATTCTTCCTAGTCATTACCAAGTATTTAAAAAAAAAAAAAAAATTGTTTTATAGGATGAGTTCCAAGAGAATCAGAACATTCCACTGAATCTTTCAAATCAAACCCAAATTTGTCAACCCAATGAGGCTAAAAAATATTTCCAAAGTTATCTACTTAAGAAAAACAAGAGGCTAAAGCACCTGGTTTTTGGCCTTCAATTGGAAGATTAAGTCAAAATGTTAAATATAGCCCGCTGAAAGCCAAGCAGGGTAAACTTTCTTAGGCTGCGTCTTTTAAATCATATTAACATTATAAATACTCAAACTGCATCGAATTGAAGTTCAAAGAGTAATCTGCAAATTCTGCCTGGAGAAGCAATTGACAAACCCTTTCTGGAAGAGTGTTTGAAGGTTTATTTTCACTTCGGATAAAGAAGAAGAAAAGTTTTCTAATGGGGCGTTGGATGAAGCCAGAGGTAAGGAGGCAAAAATGGAGCCAAATGCTAATATAATATAATATTTATATATATATATAAAACTTTATTTAAAAGTTTTCAGATATTCCTTTGTATAAATTGTTACCTTTTTTTTTTTTTTTTGTTATTTTCGTTTGATAATGGATTTGGGTTATATATTCAGGTGTATCCCCTACTAGGAGCCATGACCTTTGTAACAAGCATGTGCATCTTTCAGCTTACAAGGAATGTTTTCCTAAATCCTGCAGTCAGGTAATTAAAATTTCTACAGACTTTTAACTTAAAATATCAAGTTCTAGCCATTCAAATGTTCCCTCAAACACAAGAAAAATTTTTACTTCAATGCTCGAATTACTCGGTTGATGTTACTTGGTTAATATTAATGCAGGATCAAAAAATCTGACCGTAGCAAGGCAGTACTAGAAAACTACGAGGAAGGAGAAAAATATGCTGAACATGGACTTCGCAAATTCCTGCGAACCCGCCCCCCAGAAGTCATGCCTGCCATTAACCATTTCTTCTCTCAAGATAGATCATGATCAGTTCAAAACAATAAGCTTGCATGTATTTTGATTATAGAAGAAAAACAAAATGGATTGTTTCAGTTTAGGAATGATATACAACTAATATTTTCTTGTTATCTAGATAATATATGATAGCCTCGTTGTTATTTAATCCATTTGTACTCAATTTTTTTGGTCAACATGTTAATTTGTTTAAACTGATGTAACCAGTACATCAATACTTTCTGACTTTATGATCATGAAATAAAGAAAAGAGGTCAATTGTGAATTTTTAGCAGTAACTATCCACGCTTTTGTGTAGAGCATGTGAGGTTGGTTGGTTTACAAGGGTTTATCGAACACGTGCTGGCTATCTTTGGATAACAATAAATATGCAAGAAACTAAAAGCTATGATACAAAATCTCATTTAGTTTTATATGAAATGATCAATCTTTAGATCTGCATGATCATTAACCTAATATCCCTTCTTTGGATATATAGCAGCTAGCTTGCTTGCTCCGACCATGTTTCCTGCCTGAAATAATGGAAATAATGGGGTTCATGTTATTGCTGATTCAAAGCATTCTATGGATTTCATTTAATATACAATATAATTATATATATGGTTAATGTAATATTAGAGATTATGATATTGTAATTAGAATAATATCTAAGATTATGTTATGATTACGATGTCTTATGAAAATTTTTACTTAATTAGTGAGTCTTTTGTGCTTAAATAGAACAACTTTGTACAGTATTTCTCATGCTATTGAATACAGAATTCCTTTTCTTCTAACATATATGTACATACTTTGTTGATTGACCATGGTTTGGTTGAGATTTCGATTTGTTGCCTATGCAACAGTTCTAACTAGTTTGATATAGCAAGGTTTAACTAAATAGGCTTAAGCTACCTTTCCACGCTACCAGGCACAAAAGCTATAGCCTAAAGTAATAAAAAAATCAGAATTTTTTGTTCTAGAAGTTATCTGCAAATGGAGATTATTGTATAGATAATGCATCAGAAAGGATAACTTGATAGTAGTATATATATAAAGCTATGTAGTGTTTTGTTCCACATCTCTAGTATTTTACCAGAAAAAAAGATGCTGTTTTGAGTGATAGACAGGCAACTCTTTTGGAGAATCCTCTGCTAAGTTGTTTTATGAATATTCCTATCCAATATGTTGAAGATTGGACCTGTTTTCTTCAGGAAAAAAAAGCCCCTTACTTTTTTAGTTGAAAATAATAATAGAGACTGGAGGAAGGATAGAATTGAAAGGTACACAGAATCTAAAAGGATGCCTGTTCAGAAAAACAAACATTTATATACGTACACAAGGGAAATGCAATTTTTGCAGGTTTTTTTTTCTTTGAAGCAAAATTAATGTGTTTTAGGGTCATTTAAACTGTATGGTACTTGTCATTGTCTGCAATGTTAGCAAGGACGATGAACCCACGAGGGGGCAACGTGCAGTTGGGCATTGTTTTATTGTTTGATTATTGGAGAAGAAGGTTAGCCCCACACCAGAGCTAAGTTTCATCCTCATTGTGGCCAAGCAGCCACCAGATCACATGGCTTTGGTACCCCTTTTTCAACATAAGGTTACCCAATGTGGGCTAAATGGGAAGAGAAAGGAAAATTTTCTTTTTCTTTTATGAATTGCAAAGAAGGGAATGAAAGAAACAACGGCAAAGACAAGCACATTAGCATCAAAACAAATCAAAATGGGGACCTTTAACACATGGGAGGTGTGGTGCCCTTCAGCTTGTGCTGTGGGAACCAACCAAAAGCTAAGAATCTTTTGCAAAAAATGTTGGTTGCAAGCACACGCTTTGGGGCAAAAACCCTTTGTTTATCTTCAGCTAATAATCTCTTAGCTTAAAAATACTATATGCCATCAATGGTTTTCTCTCCTTTAACCATCATTTATGGAAAATATATATGAATGCGGGTCTTAAGAGGAAAAATGAGTTTGACATGGGATCGGCTAATAAGGATTATTTTTTAAGGAATGATTTGAAATGAATAAGACTTGTTTTGTCAATAATATTATAATCTAATTTTTTTTAAATGATATGACTGATCAAAATTACATGAAAGATTGATGTTCCTCCATTATAGAATTATTTAAGCAATAATGTTTGTTGCTTTTTGCATGCAATCGGAGGAGATTTTGCTGTAAAGCCAATCGGAGGTCTCTCAGCTTTGTAGCTATAATAATATATCAAATGACTTTTGTTTTACGTACAAAGTCAGGATCTGAACATTGGCCCATTAAAGAGAATTGTACGTTGAAAGGCATCTTATGTTACAAAGCATGCGCAAGCAAAATTTCTTCTATTTTCTTTTCTTTTTTTTTTCTCCATCAAAAGTCAAAACACGTGTTTTTCGATAATGATAACAGAGAAGAAATTTATATTATTCATTAAGCTTTATCAATTTATCCAATTTAATTTTTTGGTTTTGATGTCATTTGTTGGGGTGTTTATTTGTTCAATTTAATTAATTTTGAATTGAATTATTTAAAATTAAATTAATTAAATTATTTTATTTTATTTTTATTAATCGAATTGAATTTATTAATTTTAAAAATTAACTAACTTAATTTAATTCCATTGATATGATTAAAAGTTTTAATTGATTGAATAATAAATATATTTAAACTAAATTATATTTTAAACTTTTAATTTCTTATATTTTAAACAACTAAATAACATTATCTAATAAAATATTCAAATATCAAATTATTATGTTAAAAACTCTAATAATTTATGAAATAAAATCATCTATTTCATCTATTTTTTATTTTATTTTTGGATTTGTTATATTTTTGTTAAAATAGTAAATTCGATTTTGAATCGAATTAATTGAAAACCAAAATTTTTTTAAAATCATTTTAATTAACCGATCAAAATTAATTCTATGACCTATTGATTGATCAAATTAAATTAATTCAATTAAAATCAAATTATGAACATTCCCACAATATGTTTATTGAATCGATTTCAATAATACTTTTTGCATTGTAATAATTTTGAATATCCTCGATTTTATAAGAAATCATTTTCATCCTTAACCATTTGTCCACCTCTATCAAATTAAAACAATAGCAGATTTTGACATGTCAATGTGAGGTAACATGCTTCTTTGATAAATTGGGTTTATTTTTTTCTACACCTATATATCAACATGAACCAAGAAAAAGATTGTTGTTTTTGGTAGTTTATACGAAAAAAAAAAAGAAAAAAGAGAGAGAGAAAGCAAATGTATATACTTAATTGATGTTTTCCCAATGGTAAAAAGATTGCTTTAGATATTAATAAGATTGAAAAAATATTTTTATATATAAGTTAAAGAACTCAATCTGACACCTAAGACGAAAAAAGTAGATGTTAACTAGTTTTAAAAAATATTATTCGGGCATTCGTTAGCAAAATTTATTTATTATTAATAAATTCGAAATGTGAAGAAGGGTAATTTATTTAAAAGAGAGATCATTAAGCAAATCAATTTTATAATAGACCAAATTTATTAATTATATCTCGCTAGCCATTTAGCTTTATCAATAAATTAAAATTTGATTTTTTTGAAACTTTGAATCCAAAAGAGGAGATTATTAGTATGCCATTTATAATAAAATTTTCAAAGTTAAGACCATAATTTTGACTAAACATAATTAAGGAAAATGATGAAGATTTTGAAAATATAATAGTTCGAATAGTCTAAAATATGAATAAAATATATAAATTTTATTTTTAAATTTTGTATTATATATACACATTATTATTATTGTTATTGTTATTGTTGTTATTTTGATCTTATCCTTGCGAATTTTAATCCATATGACACAAGATAAAATTTAATTATGTTGACAAAGAAATTTGAGAGAATATATTTGAATTGAAATTTTTTAATTTTAATTTTTTTTCTTTTATATCATTTCAACGTATGTAAAAATTTATTTTTGAATTGCTTTCACAAGAATGCAATTACGATTGTCGAGGAAAATGAATTCGTTTATTTACTGATTTTATTATTTTTTACACGAGAATTTTCACTTTTTACCGAAGGTAAAAGTTTAACGTGTGCTAATGGGGGAATGGGATAGGATCATATAAGAATGAGAGAAGAAAGTGGTATATGGGTCAAGAAAAGAAAATAAAAGGACAAATAGGGGACCAAATGGAGGGTGACTAACAGTGAGCAAGATGACAAGAGAAAAGGCTGAAGGAATATCAGAGAGAGAGAGAGAGGGAGAAAGAAAAGAGATGATAATATAAAATACAAAAAAATGATGATATGATATTAATATAATATAAAAAAATAATATAATTTAAAATTTTAATGATAATTATATATAAATTTAATAAAATTAATAAAATTATATTTTATATATTTATATAAATATAAATTAAAATATATAATTTTTATATAAAATATGATATAAATATATAAATTTTTATATTTTACATTATACAAAATACATAAATTATTGTATCTAAAAAATCAATAATTTTTCATTGAATAAGAACAGATGAACGTGGACACAAGTAACCACACGTGCACTCAATCATCTAGTGTTCAACCCCACATCTTTTCTTTTTTTTTTCCTTATCTCTTTCCGATCATCAATTGGGGGGTGAAAGCAAAGAAAGATAAGAACAGGTCAATTCACTAAATTACAAAGAAATCTGAAATTCTTTTATTATAGTATTTTTTTTTTCTGTGCTACTGGCATTGGGGGCCTTTCCTTTTTCTCTGTTCTTCAATTTTTTTTTTTTCTTTTCGTTTTTACTGGTTGGAAACTGAGATTGAAACTCTCAAGACACAAACATTAATGAACCTTTAAAAAATATTTTCTTTTTGTTTTATTTGACGGAAAATGATAACGAATCCAAAAATATAATAATCCGAAGACGTAGAGTTCAAATAAAACACATATTTGGTTACCTAATTAATTGACTAAATAAAATATTAAATGGGTTTTCCTATTTGATTCAAAGATTAACTCATTTATATACCTTAAAAAAGTTTTAATATTGGATAGTGAATTTTCAATAAAAAAAAACAATTAAACATATACCATCACATACGTTAAATTGATTAGTTTTGTTTATATGCTCATTTAATAAATCTAATAATTTATGTTATCATATTGTATTTTGTATTAGACATGATTTTAAACATAATACAAATGATCTTGATACAAATATAAAATAAATATTTAAATGATATAAATAATTAAAATATAAATATAATACGTTTATTATATATATTACACCTAATATAACATTAAAAATATATTTTAATTTAATTTAGAAACGAGTAACACGACACGATATAATATAATTAACATGATTAATATTAAAATATTTAATTAATAATTTAATATTAAA